ATTGTCCAGGGTACTTTGGTTATGGTTATTCAAATTAACAAAGACACCGAATTACAGGAAGTCACATTTTCAAAAGCAAGAATTTTAAATGCAACCGTTCTAAACTAGGATCCAGTATCACTGCATACAAACCAGCAGACTTTAAAGCAACAGTACCAAGGGTGCAAGCAGGACGACTTTGATACAAAGAGGGCTGGGAAGTTCCTGAAACCTGGTGCATTCCAGAGTTGCACTATGCAGTGTTATGTTCTACAGAACAAGGTAAATGTAATCAGTGTGAGTTCTCTGTGCTTCCAGCCAATACTGCAACATGCCCCAGCAAGGAGAAACTTTGTGACCTTCACTACATAACACGGGATTACTGTGATTAAATCATCCCTCAGATATAGCATCATGCCTTGGGACAATAGCACCAGTCCTGTTTATGGAGCTGTATCTGAAACTGTTTCATGCATCCCAAATTACAAGGAGCAGTTACTACAGTTCTGTATTTTTCCATCCTTAGCAATTAGCAGAAAAAGTAATTTTCATGAGCTACTCCTATAGCCCCTTTATTTACTTGAGTAAGTGGTCTAAAATAGTTAAGGATCCTATGTACTTGGAAAAGGCAGGAATCTCTAATTCTCCCCAGGAGGCCTACAACACTAGCTTTTAATTTCTATCTCTGTGAAGCTGAAAGGTTGTATTGCAAGTCCACATTTCCTCATTTAGAAATTAGAGCTGTATGTTATTGTAAAAGGACAAGAACTGTATGTTGGACAAAGAAGTGTTTTAAAACCCCCAGCTTTTTAACTTTTTGCTATTAACAAACGAGTACTGATTCTTTATGGCTTCAAGGAGAAGCATCACTTCCTTTCTAGAAATTCAGGTATGCAGGAGTGATTCTCAGTCTCTGTAAGCTAACAGTAGCAGCACTTGGAACGTCAGCTGGCCATAGATAATTTTTAATCACATGAAAAATGATCAGTGGAGCACATCAGGGAAAGCTTCCTGGAATATAAGAGAAAGTTTTCTGGAATGGTGACAGCTGCTATTCCACAAGGCTTTATCAAGGCTTCTCTCAGGCAGTGCAGTCCAACCCAGCTTGGTGCCATGTACTTTGACTCTCCAAGAAAGCACAATAAAGAGTTACCATGGTCTTACAAGACATGCAATTAATGCTGATTGCCTTGATCTTGCAGATGACCTTGCAGACCTCATTGTTTTAGGGCAGAGATCTTTGTATTCAATAGGTAACCAGCGCAGGGAGAAATCAACCCCTGTTCTTTTCTGTGTACATAGTCTGGATATCCTGGCATATACTGGACTTTAAAAGGCAAGTGAGTGCAGTCAGAGAAACCATTTGTCAGTAATCTAACAGAAATAAGGAACTTCTACAGCTCCACAGCCTGACCCATCTTCAGCTGCAGCCACGAGTCCTGAAATCCCTCCCTGCCATATCTGCCAAGCTCAGAGCACTGGAATGTTCCTAAATAAGGGATAGATTTCCAACTTTGTATCAGCTGTTGGATAAACTGACCTGTCCTGAAGTGAGAGGTTGATCTGTGGTCTCCGATAACAAGGCGGCCAGTATGTTCTTTCTAAAAGAAAAGGCAGTTTGTTTTGGAGCTTTAGGGTGTACTAACAGCTCTGCCAACATCATGGACATCTTGAATGGAAAAGGTTTGCTGTGAAACTCTGCTACCCAACTGTAGGACTGGAAGTTTTCCTAGCTAATAGCTGCTGCCTCTAGGTGAGCTTGTTCCATCTTTCTTTTGCTGCATTTTCTGAAAAAGAAACCCCAAGAACTACACACTCTGCTCTTCCCAGACCCCAGAGATGGTTCTATTTCACTCTGTTTCTTGCCACTGATACAAAAATTATACAACATGATGATAGACATGTGTATTCAGGTTCTGATCATTTACCCTTTCTCTGACACTCTGCAACAGTTCAGGCTATGCATCTTAGGATGATCCCACTTTCAGACTGGTCACGCTGTCAGGTAAGACCTTCACAGTGATGATTAATTTATTGGCTCAGTAGTTGCTCATTAGCAAATGTGTCCCAATAGGCAAGAACTGGCATTACACAGCAAGTAGCAGTAAGTACCCAAGCAGACATTCAGATTAGTGGTAGTGGGATGCTTTAATGGGGCACTGTATCCCTATCCACTACAAAGTCCTAACGTTCACCTCTTTAATGCAGTTAGCTATTTTGGCTTACAAAATTACTGTATTCAAGCAAAATAAGTTGCTACAGATAAAAATGTTTTTTCGTGCAATACTAAACCAACACTTTATACATGAAAAAAATCATTACTGCATTTAACAAGTCTTGCAGCATTTTTTGCAGCAGGCGTAAGAGAAATTCAGTTTTAGAGTATTTTCTCTTTAAAAATATTCCCTAGGTTTACTACTTTAGTGGTTTAGTCTATCAGCTACCACTCTTTTAAAAGCTCTTCCAGCGACAGGGAAATTTACATACTTAGTACGAAGGTTTGTTAATCTGCAACGAGGCCTGTCTCTCGGAAGCGTCAACAAGTAATTTTACGAAAGCATTCAAGGCGCGGGGTGGGGATGAAGCTGCGGCGCAGGACTCGACAACTTCCGAGCGCCGTTTTGTGTGAGACGGCTGCTGACACAACAGCACAACCCAAACCCTCCCGAAGGCCAGCCCCAGAGCCCGGCAGCGCCGGGCTGCCGTCGCTTGGCTCCGAGCGCCCCGCAGAACCCGGGCAGCGCGGCGGCCTCACCTTGGCGGCGCCCATCAGCCGCAGGAACTTCTGCTTCCGCTCCTCGTTGCCGAGGTCCGCCGCCTCCCAGCTGCTGGAGCCCTGCGGGAGCACACGCTCACTGCGCCCGCCCGCCCGCCCCGAGCGGCCCGGCCGCGGCCCGCCCGCGTCCCGCCGGGGGCTCCGCCGCCCAGCCGCGGCCCCGCCGCCGCCCCCCGCGCCGCCAGCCCCCTCCCGCCGCGCCGCCTCCCCGCGCCCGCCCGGTTACATCGGGGGAGGCCGCTCGCTTGAGGCCGTGGTGGCTCTGGGACTCCCTGGCGGAGCTCATGGCCGCGGCTGGGTGACCGGGCCGCGCCGCCGCCTTCCTGCCGGAGCCGCTCCCTCCCTCAGCGGCGGGCGCGGGGCGCGCCGGGACCGGTAGTTCCGGGCGGGCGGCGGCGGCGCGGCGCGGGCGGGCGGGGAACTACGTGTCCCAGAGGCCTCCGCGGCCGTGACGGCGGGCCGGGCCGGGCCCCGCCTCGGGGCGGGCGCCGGCACTTCCCGGCGCTTTCCGGCGATTCCCGGCGCTTCCCGGCGCTTCCCGCTTCTCTCGGCGCTTCGGAGCGGGGATGGCGGAGCGGGGACTCGGCTCGCTTCAGTGCCCGCCGGTCCCGGTTGGTGTGCCCGCGTGGAGCTCGGTGTGCGGAGCTGCCGGAGTTCCCACTGAGCCCGCAGCGCCTCTGGCTGTTTGCCGCCTCTGGTGTTCCGTCACCCCCACACGCGTGCGGAACGCAGATCCCACAAACGTGTCGTGTCTCACGGGCGGGTGCCGAGAAGGTGATGCCAGAGTCTTCACAGATGTGCAGGACGAGGAGCAATGGCCATAAACAAGAAGTTCCCCTTCAACACGAGCAGAAATTTCCTTACACTGAGGCTGGCAGAGCACTGGAACAGGCTGCCCAGGGATTCAAAACAAATAATTGCTTTTTTTTTTTTTTTTTTTTTTTCTTTTTCTTTTTTTTTTTTTTTTTTTTTTTTTTTTTTTTTTTTTTTTTTTTTTTTTCAATCACATTACATCCATTCCAACCCAAATTATGACTATGAGATAATATATCGTATGAAATATGATATGTAGAATGTAATTATTTTCAACGTCTGTTTATATGGAATAGCGCTAGGATATTGATGTTTTATTTCATGTTCGCATTACTGCTCTGCTTGAGTGCAAAACTAATCAGAAAAGCACAGTTGGTACATTTGCTTTCTACAGCTTCTGCAGTTCTTGTTTAAAAATGATAAAAGAGCAGAAACAATAATCTGAGAGATTAACCTCATTTCATGTATTTAAACGTACAGACTAATATAGAGACTGTAGTAATGTCCATTATTTAAATTTTAGCATTTAAAAATTATTTCTGACAAGAGGAGTAAAAGTACAAAGAAACTCCTGAAAATGACATTACTTTGTAAATGAAAAACTCAATTTTTTAGTAGCATCTAGCAGCCTTTTTAGTATATTTAACTTAATAAGAATGCGGTAGTCTAATACCAGTGAAACTCTATATTTCTATTTTTTTAAAAGATTAGTTGTTATTAGTGTTTCTGTACTATTATGCTTAAAGACCTGTATCTCAATAAAAAAAAAGAGTGTGAAATTTTCATTTCATGGCTATATTTCCCTTGTTGGACAAACAGAGAATGTTTGTCTTTGGGAAAAGAGGTGTAAAAAGATCAGACTGCTCAAATCAGTTATTATAACTGTGGCTTAGTTGTGGCTTATTGTTAAGGTCCAATCTTTTTTGGGACAACTGAAATGAACTAATGTTATGTGTCCAGCTAATGGTTTATTAATTTTGGGGTTTTTTACATCATGAATAATGATGATATTTTAGTGCGAGGCTTTTACAATTTTTTCCCCCTTAGTTTATTGCTCCCTTGTTTAAAATGCTCTGTTTTTGCAGGGAAGAGGTACATAACCAACAAAGACATACTAAACATTAAATGGCAGCCACCTGCCTACGGCATCACTTAAAAATGGAGTAATCTGAATGCTAACAAAAATGTGGATTCTAGTAATAGAATAATTCTGTAAAGGTTTTGCTTATCTTCCTGCAGATATTACAGATATGTCTGAGTATGTGTGACTCATGAGCTTTATATAATTCCAGTAACACTAATAAGTGATAAGAAAGGAGTTCTGAAAATCCTGTCATGCTGGGATTCAGTGTTGTATTTGCTGTATTCTTTTGAGCAACAGAGAAATATCATTATTCTCAGAACAAGGGACACCGAGTTTCTAAGAAGAAACGTCTTCTCCAATCTCCGTGGCTGTTCTGGAATACAAACAAAACAATAGGTAAGGATTCTGGGAAATATTTGTGAGAGTTTTCCACTGTTTTTGACATAGTCTCTCTGAAGACACTGTCCTGAAGTTAACATTCAATTCACAGGAGTTGAGGTTTTGTCATGAAGCACAAACTGGCTGTGATGCAGAAACAGAACCACAAGCAGATGTGTAGAGGGAGGAACAATGAAGTTTCTTTTTGGACATTAACAGAGACAATAAGGTAAGAGTGAGATGAGCTGAAATGACAAGTAAAGTGACAGAATTATTTGCTGTCAGGTACAATTATCCCCTTAGACTTTTCAATGTATTGCTGCTGCTGTGGTGAGCTGCAGTCTGTGGATGGGAACCATCCATGTGAGTGCAGGGTGGGTACACACTGGCTCTGTTACAGGACATGCCAGAAGAATCACTTGAATGAGGAGCTTCCAAGCTCTGAAGCCCAGCAATCTGCATTATAAAAACTTTCAGGCAGACAAAATCATGTCAAGAGAAAAAAAAAAAAAAAGAGGAAGATCTGGATTTAAGTGAAAACAATTAGATGGAATGGCATGAGGTGAAGTGCAGTGAAATGAACTGAAACTTGCAGAAATGATATTCACTAAAATAATGAGATCTCATTTCCTTTCATGGAAAGGGACAGGGGTGGGAAAGTTGAGGCCTAACTAGATCTTGTGGAAGCAGTTTCATGAGTGAAGATCCTGCTATAAATTCTTCACAATTATTCTTTATTTAATTGGGTTTTAGCTTTTTCTGTAGAGGTAGGGTAAATTAAAGTAGAACCAGATCTGACAGCCAAAATAATTTGTCGTGGTATAATGTGGTAAGGATGTCTTTGCCATGCAGAGATTGACTGAGCTGCAATAATAAAACTATCACATAGTGACCAAGATAGTGGTCAGCCCTGGCTTGGAAGCCACGAATAGAGGGTGGAATCTTCCCCTGGTTGGTCCTGACTCCACTCAAGACTAAGTGGCTTTTGGCAAATGGTCTCACTTTTCTGATTTATCTGTGAAATTAGGATAATATATCTGCATGCCAGCATTAAGAATTAATTATCAGTTGCAGAGTGTGTGTTCAAAGCAAAGTATAAGTGCTAAATATTAGCTGTAGAGTAATTGTAGCTGTAGAGTAATTGGGCTACTGTAATTTATAATATGCTCACTGACATTGGCTTATAAAACAGGATCAACCTGTACTCAAGTGCTGTAGAATGTTTAATTATTACTAATGAACTTCTGATACTCAAAGTAGCTATCACCATGAGGCAGGGAATGCTGCCAGTACCTGTCTGTGAGAAAACTTAACAAGGAAATTAATGCCTTTTTTTTTTTTTTTTTTTTAGCTCGGAAAAATCCAACAATGTACACATGCACCTACTTTAAGTGCACAGTTTAAATTACATTTTTTTAGACAAAAAGCTTTATTTTATATCAAATAGAAACATGACATTACCCTATGTTTTTGTCTCTTTCAACCTATTTAAGCTGAAATGCTTCCTGTTTTCTAAGCAGCTTTTCTTACTGCAATATATGGAGGGTGCCACAGAGAAGAGGGGAAAATATTCTGTATATGACTGAAAGTGAAGAAAGAAACTCTTTTACAGAAATCTGACTTGCCTAGCCAACTTATTCAATGTATTTTAGTGGCTCTATGTCTGCCAAAAGTTCAATTCCAGCCTCTTGTTTTCTTTTAAGGGGTTGGGAAGAGGGAGACACAAGCTGAGAGCAAAGAGATGTCAACAGAAGGATTGCTGACAAGGGAGCATCAGTTGAGTGAAGGCAGTTGTAGCTGTTAACATTTAAAAAGCCCTTTTGAGAACTAACAAAATAAAGGATAGAGAGGTCCTCATCCCGAAATGGCTTTTATATTTCTGAACCTGTTGTAAAAGCTTTTTTAGAACATACCCCATCTAAAAGCAAAGTAGCTTCTATCATAAACAAGACAGACAGCACATCAATACAAAGACTGTCCTCACTCACTTTTATTTCTGGACTAGCAGAAAAGGCCATTATTCAATACCACAATAAAAAAGTTTTGTTGTGCCAGTTTAACAAAGAAAGAAAACAAAGAATGGGAAGATAATGTCCTTGAACCTAGGTCTGTGCAGGCTTCTAGTAGCCTTGCATGTATTAGGCTTCTACAATTTTTTTTTAAATTCCCATTTTTTAACACCATAAAAGGTATGTTAAGAAGTTCTGTTTTGGTACAGTCCTAGTGCAGACAGTTCCCAGGTAGTTTTTATATCAGTGTAGCCAGGCAAAGCCAACAATGTATCTCCTATTTGGAGTTGATATGAACCAACTATCCCAAAATAAGGAAATAGAGTGGTATGCTGTCTTAGGATTTTACATTGTATTAAATTGACCAGGCCTCTGGCCTCTTCACTTACCACTGTAAAGTGGTAGACTACCATACCTGAGTAAAAATCAATTTTATTGCAATGAAGATACAGCTTTATATATCTCACTTCTTTCCTTCTTTTTCTTTTGTGCTTGCTAGCACATAAAAGCCCCAGTAAAGAAAGGACATTTCACAGAAAGTATCTGTCAAGTTCAATTATTCTACTGCGAGTCTGAATGAGGGGAAGGTCTTCAGTATTACTAAAATGAATTGTGTTTGTTTAGAGTGGAAACTCTGTAGATCCTTCCTTGGGTGTATTTTCTGTTTACTTTGGTATACTGTTTCATCCATCTGTAGTAAATAAGAATACTTTAAGGAAAATACAATCTTAACATTTTTATCTGTTTGTTTTGATGAATTTATTTTAGGAGTAATTTGAAGACGGTGTGAACAAACCACTACTTAACATACTCTAGTGAGTAGCACTCTGCTGGAAAAGGTTGAACAAAATTAACATTGTCCTTTTTTGAGTCTCACAGCACTATGTAAGCCAAAGTCTTTGAGGTCTGCTGAAAATAGTCTGTAAAGAGAATTTGTCTCTTCATATAACTGTTTCTATTCCTAACAGCTTTGAATCTTTTTTGGATGAACAAAGAGAAATTAGAAGGAAATGTAAGTGGTAAAATTGTGGCTCAGCATGTTCTCCTTCCTGACCGTGTATATGATTGTAGTAGTTTCTTCTCCCTGGGGACTTAAGTAACATTTGTGGAAATGGTCAGTGGATAGGAGTAAGAAATAGCACCAGGTATCTTTATCCTCCCGGTTTCACTTGATCCTTAGAGAAATATTTTAAAGGTGTGAAAAAAACAGGTCTGCTAAAGCTGATGTATCTGCACAGCTCCCAAGTCGGGGTCCTTTTTGAAAAGAAATGTTTCTCCTCAACTTTCATCATCAGTAGAGCACACAGACTTTTCTTATGTACCCAGTGTCCAAATAACCTTTGAAGACTGCAGAAGATGATTTTTCCTGTCAATATCTACACCTCCCTGGTAGAGCTATATCACAATACTGTCTGCTGCCACTGCATCAGAAAGATTTTTCCTCCTGCAAAAATGGTTTCATTAATTTGTGTCCTGACAGTATCTGTTTAAAATGTGTATCACTCATTACCCCTGTTATTTAGCCAGTTTGGATGTGTTCTGTGACTTGTGTTCCTTAAAACACAGGCAGAGTGTCTCCTTGCCAATGCTGATTTTTGCTCCTCTTAGCTGCTGGAAGATCTCTACTCTACAAAGGACATACAAATACATATTTGCTTTATCCCTCTACTGGGCTCACGGGTTATTAATTGTGTTTCAGTCACAGCCTATTGGCTTTGAGCGACTGCAAGAAGCACAAAAATAAAAGAGAAATTCATTACTCTCTTTTACCTGTTTAATACCAACATCTAATTTCTTACATTAAGCCTTTAAAATTAATGTAGTGATCTGTTCAAGATTTACACTCTATTAATAAACTATAAACTATATGGCAGCATTGCCAAGAACCTACTGTATACTCTGCCTGTACTAAAGTAGACTTTACCATTTTGATATTCATACTCTTAATAATAAATGACAGTGAGTTGCAGGTGCAATACTGTAGCAATTTACGTACATTTTGACTTTGAGCATGGAAATTTGCAGCCCAAGCATCAGGATATTTTTATTAATCTGAAATAATAAATTTTAAATACATTAGCCTAGACATGAAAGAGTACGTCCACTTAATATGGTGGTATTTATGACAGGCCCGAGACTGTCATGGAATTTTGGACAGGGAAAAATCCTTTACCTGAGGGTAGTGGTTAGTGATGTACAGGCACAGTGTGCTAGGAAGAAAAATATGCTGTTCTACTGACTTTATGCCACCTTCCGTGTTTTGCTGTGGGCATAACAGGAGCCTGTTACTATGTTAAGTAAAGCATAATTTCTAAAGCATTTAGGATCCAAAGTGGAAAGGCATAGTGTAAATGCCACATCTAATACTGTTAATTTACTAGAAATAAGTTCTGCACAAAAGACTGAAGACTTTGTTTGAAGGAAAAGACGAAAAAAGTAAATGTAAGGCTGGCTGCTGGCCCTGAATAGTTTAGTGATTGCCTGGAGTGTGATACTCTGAAATGTTCCTGTATTTTGTTAAAACTGGGATATGTATCATACAAAATCCTAGCAGATATTTCACAGAAATATGTAGATGTGAAAGCACCACCCGGGGGCCATCCAGTCCTACCTCTTGCTCGGTGCAGGTCCAATTAGAGCAGGTTACACAGGGCCATCTCCATTCAAGCTGGACTCTGTCCAAGGATGCTGATGCCACAGTGTTTCTTGGCAACCTAGCCCAGTGTTTGACTACCCTCAAGGTAATTTTTTTTTCCTTATATTGAATTGGAATAGTTCAGATTGTGTCCATTGCCTCTTGTCATGTCCCTGTGCATCTCTGCAAGGAGCCTTGTTCCATCTTCCCTTGTTAGGCTGTTGCAGGCAGCAATAAGCTCGCACCCTCAGCTGCTCTTCCCCAGGCTGTGCAAGCCCAGCTCTCTCAGCTTCTTGTCTATCTTGCATATCACACTGCAGCCTCCCAGTTGTCTTGCTTCACTGTTTCAGTATTTGCCTTGTCCTGGGAAGACCAGAGCTGGACCGTTGCTCCCGATTCAGTCTCTCAAATGCCAGGAAGAGGGAAATTACCAGGTCCCTCAACCTGCCGGCAGTGCTTCTCTTAAAACAGCCTGGGATGCTGTTGGCTGCCTTTGCTGCCAGGGCACACTGCTGGCTCATGCTCAGTTTGTCCACAGGGACCTCCAGTTTCTTCCCTTGCAAATAGGCTTTCTAGCCAGTTGGCCCCCAGCCTGTAATGTTGCATGGGGTTATTCCATCTCAGAGGCAGGACTTTGCATCTTAGTGTATTGAATTGTAATTGTAGAATTCAATATATTGAGTTATAATTTTGTGCTTGTAGGTATTAATAGCTCTGAGTTTGTCATTTGGGAAGTAGCAATGGTGTGCCTTCCGAATAGCCTAAATAATGCAGAATTATGCATAATATGACTCATTTTTGGATAGCCAGTTTAACAAAACCACCTAAAGCTGATGATATACCAGGTACATCCTGGGATAAATAAATTACAGAAATCATAGTAAGTTACCAAAGAAAGGATAGCGAATTGTTTCCTGAAAGCTGGTAATTTTTTTCAGACTAGCAATGCTTCATTTTTCTTTTGTACATTTATAAATGAATTAGGCTGTGCTAATTTGGAGGCAAAACCAACAGTGCTTTGTGGCTATTCTGTTTACTGATCAATGGAATATTTAATTCTTCTTGTTAGACTAATATAGTGGGGAATATTTTTATTAATGAAAGGGTTCAAACTGTACTTCATTCTGAGGATATTGAAATACTGTTTAATGTTATCCGGTGTTGTCATTGCATTTTGAATGATTTTTGTGTAATGGCTGTTCATTACTTTCACATGTACATAAATTCTCAAACTAGAAATTAATGACTTTTTTATATTGTATGTCAATCTTTATAAAAATATTTTATAGACTTTAAGAATTTTAAAATTATATGAGCAATTTGTTTGAAAATAGTGTTAATTTTAGTTTGGCTTTTCTGGACCCTCAATGAAGGTGGTTTTCTTTGTGGTGATAGAAACCCCCTTAGAGGAAACACAAATCTTTATTTATGCTTTCCCCCCACTGTTAATTCATGTGCCTTTTTAAAGAATCTTGAAATTTGTCAGAAATTAGTCTGGGAGGATGAATTCAACAGATCTCTGTCCATGGTCTGCTGCATCTTGCTCCAAAGGGCTGTATGGCTGCAATGTTAGGAAAATTTGGCATGTTGTAAATTAAACCTCGGTGCTGCAGGCTCTCAGCTAGGAGATGTTATCCAGAAAGCCAGCATTTCTGGTTCTGCCTGTGATTTTCAGCTGATGACCCCCTTTGCTAATGAAGCATGCAATGCTAATTTGGCATGGGCCACAGGTAGGATGGTCCTCTTGCAGGTGAAATGTCATTTGCCACATTTTGCAGAGTATTAGTCCAAACCTATATTTGGTTGGCACCTGTGCTCCTGAACTGGCATCCCCACCTTGTGAGAAGGCAGCATGCCACTCTGACAGATGGGGAGGAATGTGAGCATGCCAGCAAACCAGGGTATGCATCAAGGGGTCACATTTCTCTCCAGGAATGTTGAAATACCGGTACACGCAGAGCTTCTGTATCTGAGGCACACGTGTTTCTTGGCAACGACCAAAGTTCCTGCTGAATATCTTGGCACGGGACGTAAGGAAGCTTAGTGAATTTTCATGGCTTTCATAGGGTTTCTACACCATGGGAGCCTACATATAATTTCTGCTAAGAATGGCTCTGTGAATGTAAACAGAAGAGGGAATATATTTTGCAAATTATTCTTTCTTATTAATAGATTAAGAACTGTTAAAATGCCATCATAGCTTTCATGGATAATGATTCTTTTGATTAGTTAATGGTTGGTTTATCCTGGTCTGAGAGCAATAGAACGTGTGGTTTGGCAATCAACCCAAAATGTGAATGTCACAGCTTAAACTTCTACCATTTCTTTCTTGTACTTTATTTTATTTTAACCTAGAAGTAAATTCTGGAATCCCATCACACTTTTGTGCTTCATCAAGAAATTAGCTTTTTTTCTGTGTTCCCCCTAACGGTATAATGTATTAAAATTAACTCTGGGATGGTCTTTTCTTTTCCTGAAGGTAATTCTGAATGGTTTATTTCAGTGTTTTTACTTTTTTCCTCCAGAATTACTGTAAAGCTTTTCTATTTCATCCATTACAGCACAGTGTTTTTCACATTTGAATAGCTGCATCAACATGAATCCTTTATAAGGACCTTAAAAACAAACTTTGCCAAGTCCCAGAATACAGAAGCTGATTCACATCCCAATACTCAGCTGCCTCATGAATAAAGGAGAGTCTGTGCCTGACACTTTGAAGCTGTAGCTGTTAAACCATACAGACTATTTACCTCAATAAATCATTATAAGAAACTAAGGTACAATTATACCCACAGAGAAATAGAATTCAAAACACTGATTTATGTGGTTCAGTGCCTGTTCCTTTTTCCATCATGTTTTGAATTTTATGCATGTTTGTCATCTTTGGCTGCTTCCATGTATCTTTAAACTAATAGGTCTTGCTTTTTTAACATTCCTCATTAGGTTTGTTATTTCAGTTTGACATACAGACATGATTTGCACGCTGTACAAAATTTTGCATTTAAAATTAACTATCTAATTTCTTATGCTATAGACCAAAAATGGAAAATGTAAGTAATTTGTTTAAACTAACATACACCCTTTTCTGGTTAATTTGTGACTATCTAAGCTGAAATCCCATATTAGCTGAGATTTTTTTTTGTTGCTTATTTGTTAGATCTGCAGAGAAATCATGATACAAAGGAATCCATCACTGTGCTTTTCAGAATGTGCCTGCTTATCACAAAGAGATGGAAGCATAGAAAATTACATTTGGAATAATTTCCTCAATTTCTTTACCCCTTGAAGAGGTGAAATGAATCTAAAAGATAAAAATTCAGTGAGATGGAAGTGCAGCCTCAGAGGAAGGAATGGCACTGAAACCAACAAATAATTCCATACGAAATGGTAGGAGTAAGGTAAATATATCTAGGAAGGGAAGTCCGAGAGTAGCCACAGACTGTTGGGCCACCCAAGCCTTCAAGAGAGTCCAGTGTTGTTCCATAGAGCAACTGAGTGGAGAGTGATTTAATAACCAACAAATGTTCCTCAATAAAACTTCAGAAAGTCACCAAATATTGAACATTTCAGATACAAACAATAGTAAATATGCTGCTTTTCCAAATCCTTTATGCCTTGCTAATAACTTTCAGTGCTGATGCTTGGGTGGATCCAAAGGGCCTGGAGTGAGGGTGTATCAGGCCACCTGCCTGATCCCAGGGGTTTGGATCAGAGTAGTGCTTGTCTGCACTATTGAGAGGGAGCTATAAATCCATCATTATTCCTGGAGTGATTTATAACATGAAAGTTTTTGGGCTGTGTGTATCTTTCCTCTATCCAGCTAAAAAAGCTGTGTCTGTTGTAGACAGGTTTGGCCATTTCAGACTATTTTTGCTTTACAGTAATAACAGTAATTTGACTGAGAAGCCTAAACATCTGTATTTTCATTATCTTACACTGAATTTCATAAGCTATTCAATTCCTAAGGGAATATGCATCTAGAATCTTTATATAATACATGAGTAAAAGCACATAGTCTTTTTCATGCAGCCTGTAATTTGCATATATATGTATATGTATATAAAACTCTTACTTTTTGTTGTGTTTTTGTCTCTATGAATCTATAGGAATGGTGCGAAGAAAGAATATTATACCTAAAAGTTTCCACATGCAAATGATGTTATTTATTGAGCACTGAAAACTTTTATTAGGGTTTTCCATAACCTTGTCCCCAGTAATCCAAGAGTCTATAAGATACTGCTTTTACAGTCTGCTAGCATTTAGAATGTTTCTGTCATCATATCTGTGGAGTTAATAATGTTTTTATACTATTGAAGTAGAGGATTGCTTTGCACAGCAAGTCACATGGTAGCCACACTGTGAACATTTCCACTGCTTACATAACAATCTGTTTATTAAAACATACCTGTTGAAAGTCCATTATTAAAGCTACATATTATGGGGCTTTGCAATTCTTAAATGTTATTTTTCCTCAGTTCCTAGTGTCCTGGAATAGTGATTCCTGCTCAATTATAAAAATAACAATGTCATCAATTATTAATTTTCTTATTAGTTATTTCCATTAATAAAATTTAAGATTACTGATGTTTCACATTGTTTTATAGTTCAGCACTACCATGTAACAAAGAACCATTTCATTTTGCAATCTACTGAAAAGAATCTCATCCTAAGTTAAAAAAAAATCTGAAATATTTTCAACACTTTTTAAAATTTCAAATATTTACTAGGTTATGTCGGCTCAGGTGACTTTGCAAATTCATTTTTTCAGTCTACCAAGCAACAGATTGAAATACATCCAGAATGCTATTTAAAAGCATCCAAAATTAGGGATTGTTCACACTGAAAACTGCAACACCTTCTCAACTACTGGGATGCCACAGAAGCTCAGGAAGTTGGTACTGCCAAAACTCAGACGAGGTACTGACTGTTACATGTGAAACTTTACATCAGCTTTCAAATAATACACATCAAAAAATGAGAGTATTTTAATTCCTGGTAATTTAATTCCTGGTAAAATCTCTTACCAAGATTTCTAAGGGCCATGTACTCTCAGATGTGTCTCAGGTTTGAAACACAGGTTCTAGAGCAGTGTAAATGCTTTGGCAGTGCACATTATGTTTTATTAAAGTAGTTGTGTGAGTGTAGCCAGCACATGGATGCAACTTTAGTACTGTAGAAGGGTCGTGTCCATCTTCCCCAGTGAGGAACTTCATATGTAGAAAGCAACCTTATGATCTCATCACAGTGCAGGGATTGAGCTGATTAAATTAAATCAGCGTAATTAGGCATAACTTTTGTATGTAGACAAATCTTCAGCATTGCATGAACACAGACCAAGAATAAACTTGCTCAGTTTACAAAACAGACTGTTAGCTGCAGCCTATCACGCAAATAGGGAGATGGGTTTTTAAATAAACTTAATGAGTTAATGATGCAACACTGGATGTGTTAAGGAGGGCAAGATACGTCCCAGGAAAACACTGTGAATATTAACCTTAGGCACCTGAACCAATTTGTTGAGGCTAGATGCTGCTTTTGTGGCTAGTTTGCAAAACTGGTAGCAGTAAGGAAATACTGTTTTCTGCAGGTTTTTTTCCCAAGCTTGTCTTCTATTAGCAGATGCCTTTCACTCACCAAAACTTTAAGTTCAAACAAAGGCTCTTTAATTCTAGCAATGATTCTTCACAATATCCGGGGATTACATATAATAGATTGTGAGTATGGCGTGAGCAAACAAGGCATCAATAATAACCTTCTAGCATGGTTTTACCTGGATGTACTGAATTACAAGGAAAACAGTTTTGGATTTTTTCCTAAGTCTCATGGATCACAGATTGCATGTTTGAAAGTGGAAAGGGAGTAGCCAGACAAAGGAAAAGAAACAACATAAAAAGCCTTAAGTTTGCAGGAGTTTCATTATGCTGAAATCCTGACCTCAAATCAATAAGAAATCCTTTATCTGACACATATTGAGGGATTATAGACTCAACATTTTAGAGAACGTGTTTAAACAGCATTGACATCAAAACCTTCTGAAAACTGCAGGTGGATTATGAGCTGTGTACTGTTTATATCTGCAAGTACAAGCAGCTGAAGAATTATTTCAGTCTATCTATGCTACAGTTTTGCAACCATGCTGCATTTATTTCTTAGGAAATAATTACTAAGGAGAGTGTGTGTGGGTGTCTGTGTTGGACAAGTGGTTAAGGCATAGGGACTTGAGAGGTCAGAGTTCTTGCAGTTATGAAACAGATGGTTTTTGTGGTTGGGGTAAATCAAGTCCTTGTTTTGTATCTCTGTTTCTCTGTAGGTACAGCACATGTAGACACAGCAGTGGTTTATTGGCAGCACTCAGTGGGCTGTTACAATGTGTGTTTTAATATTTTTGAAAGGTGCGTGTAGTTACCTCTAAAGGTACAGCACAGCTCCACTAAGTGTTAGGATTTGAAGAACATTTCATAAATGGCAGTGCTGCTCTTCCAAAAAAGTGATGTCTTCCAGGAATCTCTGCTTAGTTAGTTTGGAAACCACAGTGAAGACATGCTGCTGTCTTCATGCTGTCATGTTCAGAA